CTGCAAACTCGTTTAATGCCCGTTCACTTCATCAAGGTGTAGTAAACACATGCGATGCTGCAACCCGGGTTGGTGTGATGCGGTGCCATTTAGTCAGAATAGCAGCCTAACTCACCTTGCCAAAAGACGTGTTACGGGACACCACACTGCACGGTAATACACTACCCACAGTAGCTTTAACCCTTTAGCTGCCTGAGCTGCTTTTGCATACATTATCCTAAAGGGGCTTGCAGATTCTAATTACAGACCACCACAACTACCCACCCAGGGTTGCAGGGAAGAGGCATTTGTCCTCATCAACATGGGGACAAGGTGCTGTGCTAGTGTGGTTCCCCTGGCAAGGTTCCCTCCCCATGTCAAGGACATGTGGCCTGGCATAGTTCCGGAGGGATGCTGGGGAAGTGCACGCCTGCTGCACTTTCCTGGCCTGCCAGGCTGCATGCTTGGATAAGGGTCTGGTATGGATTTTGGGGGGGGACCTCACACTCTTTTTTGGAGGGGAGTTGCATGCGGTCCTAAAACTGCATGCATGCGGATCTAAAACTCTATCAGCTTTCTTTTAAACTTGTGTCTTGCTCCTGGGTGCCATCTTTGTCTCTATAGAGAAAGCCCCAAAGCTTGTAGTTTGCCTCTAAGGCTCATTTTGGAGGAGATATTTCTTGGAGAACACACAACTTGGAGAGTTGACGCATGTTACCGTTAAAGTACTCTGGTATGACAGTCTAAAAAAAGGAGGGGAAAAATTAGAGCGCAAATCCTAGGAATGTGAGGGGTATAGGGACAAGCAGTGTCTGTATGTGGCGGGTGGAAAAACAAAAATTAATAAAATCACAAAAGGTGAAGGACTTACTTGTGGAGCCGAAGTCCTATCAAGGAGGGCTCTTTTGGAGTGTGGGCAGTGCAAGATGTACTCAGTGTCTCCCAGCAAGTGGAGGGATGGATGAAGGAGGAATCAATGTGGGCTGAATGCTGTATGTGCCCGGGGACTGGTGAAGAAGCTGCCTATGGTCTTGATGGCAGTGTTCTTAGGACGTGACGGAGTGAAAGGGACCGAGGGCTGGGATAGGACGTGCACGGAACAGTGAAAAAGAAGCGACGCGTTTCGAGGTGATCCTCTTTTTCAAGCTCGAGTGAAAGGGTGAGTAACATTGGCGGGAGATTCGCCGGGTTTAAAAGACCGGTGGGCGGAGTAACGGGAAAGGAATCCGCTGTGCTGAGCGGCTGTGTCACAGTGTCATGAAAACTTGGACGGACATCTATAACCCTGTGTGTATATGTACATGAATATTCTGGGTGTGTGGATTATGGGGGGCTTTCTTGTGTGGCTAAGGAACTCGAAGTGCGATGGGTAACGGGAATTATTTTGGCGGAGGACCGCCGGGTTTAGAGAACTGACAGGTGGGCGGAGTCACATGGACGGACTCTCCTGCAGACGGCCACTGTGTCAGTTGGTACTGATCGCTCTGACAGGGAATATTTGTTGTGAGAGTGCAAATAGTGAGATAAATGTTAGTGTGTGGTGGGGGGTAAGTTTGTGTGTGACCATGAACAATATTGTGTGAGGGATGACTGAAATTCATTTGGCGGCGATCCGCTGGGTTTAAAAAGTGACAGGTGTAAAAGGTTGACAGGACGGACGGTGTGTGGGGCATTGAGCCGTGGAAAAGTGTTTGTATTGTATAGCTGACAGAGAGAAAGGGAGCTGCCTACGTTTGTTCTATGTGGATTGTTCTCAATGGATACATCAATGCAGATCGGGGGGTTTTTATAACATGACATAATGTTTGTTGTTGCAATGTGTGACAAAATCTACCAGGGCCTCTGTGGTCCCTCCCCAAATGATGATAATGTCGTCTATGTAGCGATGTGTGCATTTGTGCCCCTAATGCAATAGGCTGTGCACTCCTATGAATGTGCAGAACTAGATATAGCAGTATCAGGAGAACATCGGGATATCACCACACCCTGACCATAATTACATCAAGTTCCAGTGAAGCATTATATCACATTCCAATCAGTGAGTGAGCCTGTAGACACAGCTTCTGTTGTGCCCTATCTTTCTTTCTAAAGGTTATTGGTTAGTTGTAAAATAAAGATTTATCATAAATAGTAACAAGAGAAAAAAACAGGTATAAACAATATGCTTACAAATGTAAAATAAAATGAACCTAAAACCATAATTTTCTTTTAATCATGGTAGGAGTCCATTTGCATAGTTACAGTATATAGTTACATAGTAGGTGAGGTTGAATAAAGACACAGGTCCATCAGGTTCAACCTATATGGTGTTTGTATGTGTGTGTGTGTGTGTGTGTGTGTGTGTGTGTCTTCCTCACGGTACTTAGTTTAAGTAGTGCGAACATGACACCTCTTAAGCGCCTCTTCTCTAAGGAGAACAATCTTAATTTTTGTAAGAGTTCTTGATAACTTAGACCCTCCATTCCCCTTATTAATTTTGTTGTCCTTCTCTGAACCTTTTCTAGCTCACGGACATTCCTCCTGAGGATTAGTGACCGGAGTTGCAGCGCATACTCAAGATGGGGGCGTTACCAGTGTTTTATAAAGTGGAACAATTATATTTCTATCTTGTGAATAAATTCTTCTTTTGATGCAAGATAATATACTACATAGTCTTTATTGCATAGGTGTGTAGTAAAATACTTCAGCCTGTTCAACTTGGCCTAAGGAAGTACATTTTCCTAAAGGTGTGAGTGTATGTACAGGTGCCAATAGCCATGATCCAGCTTTTTTTAACAGTGTTTTTTTATTTTGCCTCATTAAAACATACACTGAGTGGCCAGATTATTATGACCACCCCATCAGTACTTCGTTGGGCCACGAGATGACTCCACGAGATGACTTCGTTGGGCCGCCTCGTGACTCCACGAGATGTTGAAAGGTGATGCGAGGAATGTATTAACATAAGATAAAACCACGCAAAAGAAAACAAAGAACATCGCCTTCTTCTTGTGAAATACAGTTTTATTTGTCCATATAAAAATGTAGTAAAGTAATACTCACAAATGGTGTCTGTAACATGAGCATTCAAGACAACCACCCAGACTGATGGACATCGGTCGACCTTAGAATGGACTGTCAAACGACCACACTAGATTCCCCATAATAAACATTCTTTCTTGTACTTTTCTGGAGTACAAAGATAACAGGTAATAAAACTTCAGGCTATGCTATCTTGGGAGATATGCAATGGATAAAAGACTGCCAAGGTTTTCTAAAGAATCTCACCACTCTCCTGAACACTAACACATACCCAGGAACAATACCAATTCACTTTATTGGTTCTTATCAGTATGATAGTTGATGCATGGCACACTCATTTAAGAAATGTACCAAATAATTATTCAAGTTGAATATTATGAACAGTAAGATGTGACTAGTGCACCAAATGTAAAAAAAATCCCACAGTGTGACAAGTCACACATAAGTCACACAATCTACATAATATTTCAGCAAAATAATATTGGCGCAATTGAAGTATGGGAATATAAAGCCAAGAAGATAATGGCACAGAGCAGACAAGACCAGGGTGCTAGTTGTGAAGTCCTTAGACCCCAGCAGTCCTTATTGGGAGTAGTAAAAGGATAATAGCAGTGTGCTCTATTAGCCTCATGTATTATGTGTTCCCAGTCTCTAAGTGTCTTGTGAGGCATGTCTCCAGTCACCTACCACGCCTGTAGCATTACTGTAGTCTTAAATCATCATTTCTTCTAGTATGTCCACAGTCTCTAACAGTCCTCTGTAGCGTTATATGTACTGAACATTATGCACAGCCCTTTGGTGATGTCAGGGGCCACAGTTGTGGTCCCATATGCTTAGTAAGTTGACAACCATTCAATCACTGGTCTAAACGATGTGCAAGATTTGAAAATCGGAGCTAACTACATGGCAAAACTAAACCAGGTATATTATGGCCTGACTTACTGCTTTGATTGCTCTAAACACTGATAATCGAATTTAGATGTATTACATATTCCATGTTCCATTTTTCCTGGACTCAACACTTCTGCTCTAAACTAAACTTTAATATTACTTTGTATATGTTTTTCACAAATGATTACAGATATTAAATATTCAATACATTCTATTGTATGTGTACATATGATATAGCTATGCTTGTCGATTTTTATGAGTGGTACCTCGGTTCACAAACTTAATTGGTTCCACGATTCTGGCCGCGAACCGAATTGGTTGTGAACCGAATCACATTATCCGAATTGTTCGTGAACAGAGGCGTTCGTGAACCAAGGTACCACTGTATCTTGTAGTGCTAGTACTTTGTCCGGTTATCAGCTGTCGTCACAAAGAAAGTTTGCTTTATATGCAGTTTGTGTAGATGGCACAGAGACAAGTGATGATATGGGAAATGTAATCTGCTTTTCACCAGTTTAAAGCATACTGAATTATTGAAATGAATGAATGAAAATGATTTCCTCTTTGGTTTTTCATGCCTTCATTTCTTATGCAAACCCCAAAACATGAAGAACGTTATTCTTCGCCATTTTTTCATCTCTAGGCTGTCTTACTATAGCTAAATATATACTTAGATTAAAACTGAATAATTTTTATCATTCTCAAAACATGACAATTTGTCTACATATATTAATTTATTTCACTTTTATAATCATAAACATTGTATTATTTAATGAAGCAACATGCAGATTCCCTTATATGTTACACAGAAGCTTAGTTTAGTTCTTATTCATAACATTTCTTTTTATCCATTCCCACTTTTAATTTGAACATTAAAACGTTTACATCCTGTCCCGGCTACTAAAAGAGGTTATGATGTGGAAGGTAAAGAGATTCTGAAAAAAACATGCATGCAAAACTGGAAGAACGTACGGTATAAAGTTCTAGCAGACATGCTCTAACTAAGAATTATACCAATTGGGCTTCGTTGTATACATATTAGAGCAATGTAAGCATGTGTAACTTTACACATATCTGATGTCTGCCAAGCTGCCAAGCTGTGTCTATGCCTAGGTTACATTGGATGAGATCTGCAGATCGGGAGTACTGATAACAGGAGTACTAATAACATTAGATTGTTTTCCACTTGCAAGCCTGAGGAGATAACTGATGACCATGTCTTTAGCTTTGTTGGCTTCCATGTTTTGTTCTCGTGATAGCTGCATACTGATCTGCTCCACATTGTTTATTATGAGCTCTGAGTCCATAATATGATTAGATGTACCACAGCTCAAGTCCATCATGTACTGCTTGTAGAGCTCAATGACCTTCCTCTCCAAGTATTCATTGAGTATGGAATTAGACAGTGGTTGCTCTTGGCTCATAATGCTCTTGTCTTTAATACTGGTCTCTTTCCAGCAAGAGGAATCATGCTTAGAATGCCTCCTAGGCAAATCATTAGTTGCTACACATAGAGAATCCATAGCTGAGGGAATCTGAGAAGATTGAAGAAATGGCCCTTCACCAAATTCAAAGCTGTTTTTGCAAGTTGAGTTAGACATGACTGAGTTTATAGCCATGACCTGATCCCCAGCTACATGCAAGTCATTATAATCTCTGCAGATATTTTTACAGGATGATGGGACCAGATATGTCTCTTTATTAGACTGCGAGTTTGCACTTACATTGGCAGGGAATGATTTATCAGTTTCATATATAGGATTTTCCATTTCATGCAACAACTGTGTCTCCATGGCGTTCTGTGCAGTATCTTTCCCATATGTTGCTGAAGCTTTTCGTTCAACAGACCCATATTTCTTGAAAACTCTTCTGCTGCCTGTCTCATATGCAAATGCATAATTTAGAGTGCACACACCGGCCAGTTCTTTTCTTTCTGTAGTCACCTCCTCCGAGTGCAGCTTTGCTATGCCATCTTCATACCATGACTGAATTTTGCAAAGGTATCCCTCAGATAGCATATCTGCAAGTAGGAAACATGATTAATAAATCTCTAATTACAGTGAAAAAAAGGTCAAACGCGTCTACTGTCATCTGGCATACCTGTCTACTGTTATGCCAATTATTGGGAGCTTGATATTCCATATACTGTACGCAATATGTATACACAGTGCTTTAAAGCCTCAGCAATTCATATCCTCATATACAGAGAGAACACTCTTCAGTATATACATATACAGATCACCATTTGTATATACTGAACAGTATACACAGCACTCTGAATCTATCAGCCAGAACATTTTTATAAAAAAGTAATGGAAAAAAACATGGTGGGTCCTGGCCAGCGAATCAAAATTCTGTCATTTGTTAGGTGCTATCCGCTGTCCAGTGCTTGTGTACATTAGAGTTTGGGTTTTCTGTAGAGGTAAATGTGGGCTGGAAATAATTACATATTATTTTAGCAACACATGAAAAGAAACGGTTGGGTTTCTTTTCTTTCTTTGCAATGTGAGTCATGAAAATGTGCACATGTATACATCATCACTGCACCTCTACATTACCACAACACTGTACATGCAAATCACTTACAAAGGTGGAAATAGACTTTAAAGGAGTTGTAAAGTCCCAGCATATACTATCCTGTTATAACATCAGCATTGTAATAGGAATACATACTAGAGTTGTTTTTCATAATGCAGTAGTGACTACCGGTAGTAGTGAGTGCTGCCTTATTTCTGTACATCACTTTAAACAACTTCCTGGACTCCCATTGTGGTTTGCATCTCTTTCCCTGCTGCTCGATGCCTCATGACTACATAGCCCATCATGCATTGCTTTCAGCAAGCAATGATAATGTTACATTGTTCAGATGTTGAGTTGTAGTTCAGAAGGCAGGCTCTGTGAGAGTGAAATTGTTTTGGTGCATTAGGGAAGTACATCCTATGGCCATCTTCAATAAGTAAGTTTACAAACTTTTAGAGCAATATGGTTATTAGGAGTGGGATCGTTCTTATGGAAATTCAATATAGAAATACATATTTTTTTTTTCGTTTTTGACCATAGATTCCCTTTAAGGGCTAACAGTTCACCCAGAGGTTTCTAAGTTTCTCCAGGAAGTTTTGGTAACATTAAATATAGAAATTAGATAAATGACATGTAAATACTGTCCCAAAAATCATTCATATCGTTTCACTTCATATAAAAAGGACATTTGTGCATTTCTGTGCCACCTGTACACAATGTAACCACATAAAATGGGAAGTAGCTCTTTTAAAAGGGTGATTGTGGTGTGCATGAGAGTTTCACCGTTCAAAATAACCTCACCGGCTGTGTGATTTGAAGATCCACTCGCACACTGTGTATAGTGATACTTTCAGCTCAACATAATATATTCATAGCCTTAGTTCCACAATGCTTTGTGCTAATGTGGGAAGAATAAGTTGCAAAGGCCTCCCATTAAGATTATTGTTCTGCAGATCTGCTTTATAAGTCAACCACACACAGCTAAACTTTTTTTTTTTTTAATTGGGACCGATTTTTAGTCCATGTAGGGACTAAAAGTGGACCTTCATCCAAAGGAATATTTTCATTTGTGAGATTCTAGGTCAGGCTTTTCTTGCTGTATTTGTCTCTGTTAGTTATATCTCTACTCACTTCTTGTCCTGGTGACAACCATAAATTACAGACATAATAAATGTCTACTTGCTTCTCCTTCTTTGTAATGTTAGGAGGGACTGTGAGGGGTTAAAAGGATTACAACCCTGGCTTCTGCATTAAAATGTCAATGACGTTACAGAGAGCACACAATCCTCAAATTTCCATAAGGACCAGTGGCGTATCCCAGGTATGGCACATGGCCTGGGTGCCACTTAAAGGGCACTGACTTTTTTTTCTCTCCCCCACCCCTCTCCCATATACATCTCCCCACCTGGCTCTTAGCTATCAGGAAAGCTCTGGCTGGTGTCCTGCCCAGCTCCTGGCAAACAGTGACGCCACTGGTTGCCAGGAGCTGGGCGGGACATCAGCCAGAGTGTCCCAGGTTGCTAAGAGCCAAGCAGGGAGATGTGTATGGCCCTTACACAATGTGGGACACTTTGGTCGGTGCCACTGGTTGCCATGAGCTGGGTGGGACGCCAGGGGTGCAAGTTGTTGTAGATAAACCTCTGATAAGGACAGATCACTGTGAAGGTGCTGAGAACAACTTAGAATCAGCCATGTTGCCTGCTACAAAAAAAACACCTAAAAGGTAAGAAATCTTTTGTTATTATTATTTTTCATTATGCTGTGTGAATAGGATCACATAATAAACATATAGAGGAGTTTACTCAAATTTGACTGCAAAAGTGGAAATACCCTTTAAAGTTGACCTAAAAAGAAAAAGTGAAAATGTGTATGTTATAGGGAATATCTAGAAATATTAATTGAGCCTAATGCCTGACTGTCATCTGACCCAGAAGACTGTGGGCAACTAGTGGTACAGAATTACACTGGATTGAAGGAGAGCGTTGCCGCAAAATGGGCTAAATTGTTTTCTTTTACACAATTTCTGTTATAAAAAAAAATCTGTCATCTATACAATGAAAAACCTAGAGGGGATGTTTAGGTCCTCCCTTGTGTGCTAGTATGCAAGCACACAAAACTGACAAAAGTCCATCAGACAGGTGCCTGATTTAGACCATACCTTGATAAGACCATTCTGAGTATGGTTTCTACTCTGCTTGGTGTCAGTATTGTTACCGTGTAAGATTTTCTCACAGTGTACTTTACTTTCTCTAACTGCTGCAATTAGAGAACCTACAATTAGGGAATTTTGCTGTGGCTGGTACTGGCACCTTACCAATGTTGTGTTTTTTTTTCTGTTGTGACACAGATAGATGGAGGATGGAGTAGCAAATGAAGCAGTTTGACTACCCACCCAGCTCTGGGTGAAGCCAGGGAAAGCGGCTTCTATTGGTCTTCAGGGATAATTATTGTGCATAGGAATGTTATGTGACAGAGTGCTGCAAGCCGAACAAGCTTGCGTGTATTGGTTAGTAAGAGAAAATTAAATGGTATCTATAGTCAAAAAATAAATATGTATTTCTATAATTAATTTTCATAAGTTCTATCCCACTCCTAATAACCATGTCAGTCTAACAGAGTATTTTTCCAAATCAGCTATGTTGTCCTAGATTGTTCACTTCTCCTGCCTTCTCCAAACTCTTCATCCTTTTCTGAATAACCCTGTATAAGTTTGTAAATTAACTTTTGAAGATGCCCATAGAATGTTCTTCCTCAATACAGTGACACAATTTCACTCGGCCCTGCCAATATGCACTTTCTTCTGTCACCGCTCTCACAAAGCTTGTTTTCTGAACTAAGACGCAATGTCTAAACAATGAAACGTCATCACCGCTTGCTAGTAGCATTATGGACTATGCAGTCTTGAGAACGCAAGATTGCATCACATAAAGCAGCAGGGAAAGAGACGCAAAGCACACTGGGAATCCAGGATGTTGTTGAAAGTGATGGACAGACAGAAGACAGCACTCACAATATAAGGGATATTTCCAAGTAAACTTTGATTGCAATATTAAAAACAACTATCAGAGTGCCCCTTTATATTGCCCCAGAGTGTCCCCATCAGAGTGCCCCCTTACACTGGCTGTCCCCTTCAGAGTGCACCCTTACACCAGCTGTCCCCATTCAGTGCCCCTTACACTTAACTGTCCCCATCAGAGTGCCCCCTTACACTAGCTATGAGACAAACAAAAAGATACCTTGTCGCACTCCTTACCGTAAAAACCCAAAGTTGAATGAGGGGGTGGTGCTTGTAGTGACCTTCGGATGGCGCCGCCACAAAGCATAAAGATGAATAAATGTCACCAGCACACAACCAGTATTGCAGTCCAAAGAGTTTGTTTATTGGAACGTCATGTCACCAAATCTAGCGGTTTCGGGGCCACGCAGGGTCCCCTTCATCAGGCTCAGCAATGATGAGCCTGATGAAGGGGACCCTGCATGGCCCCGAAAGCGCTAGTTTTGGTGACATGACGTTCCAATAAACTAACTCTTTGAACTGCAATACTGGTTGTGTGCTGGTGACATTTATTCAGCCTTACACTAGCTTTCCCCATTGGAGTGCTCCCTTACACTGGCTGTCCCCATCGGATGACCCCTTACACTAGCTGTGCCCATCGGAGTGCCCCCTTACACCAGCTGCCCCCATCAGAGTGTCACATGTGTCTTTGAGGTACCTTAGCTGGGAGGCGAAGTCAGGAGACACAGAGTTGGAGCTGGAAAGCAGAGCCAGGGGGTGGAGCAGGGAAGCAGAGCCAGGAGGTGGAACTGGGAGGAGCTGGAGTAAAAGCAGGGAGCCGGGAAGCAGAGCCAGGAGGTCGAGCTAGGAGGAGTCGGGGCAGAACTGAGGGGCCAAGAAGCATGGAAGAGGAGATGGCTATGGGCAGCTAAGGAGGAAGGAGGATACTGTTCCATCCTCTTCAGTGCTCAGCAGGACAGCAGCTGTCATTGGCGATTGCGGTCCAGACGGACCAGCAGCTCGGTCTGTATCCGAACCACAATTTGCCATTTGCAGACCCCTGATCTATAAGATGCTATATTTCTGTGGTGATGCAGTGGTACCTGAGTCAATATATTCTTGTTGCCACCGGTGATGCCTAGTGGTACCAGTGGCAAAAAAAAAACCTAAAGTCCTGTAAGCTTCTTAAACAGCATTGTGTCCAAGCGGCAGTGCCTATCAGGGCCGATTAACAACATATGTGTTGGGGCTGTGCTGGCTATTCTTCCAGGCAATTTGCCTTGTCATGGACAGGTTCAGTTCACTCCACTGCGTTAGGCTAGGAACGCAGTGGTGTGCTCTGAAAAAAAGTACTTTTTTCAGCGCAGCAGGAAGTGACCCAGAATAATCTTCTACCAGCCTTGTACCCTGCTGTCAGTGGCGGAACTACCAGGGTCGCAGAGGTCGCGTCCGCGACCGGGCCCTGGAGTTCCGCCACTTGCAGGGGGCCCAGGACAGGAGGAA